CCCCTCCCTCTACAATGCCTCCACATATAGCGATATCACGCACCTCCCTCCACAATGCTTCCACATATAGCGCTATCACGCCCCTCCCTCTACAATGCCTCCACATATAGCGATATCACGCACCTCCCTCCACAATGCTTCCACATATAGCGCTATCACGCCCCTCCCTCTACAATGCCTCCACATATAGCGATATCACGCACCTCCCTCCACAATGCTTCCACATATAGCGCTATCACGCCCCTCCCTCTACAATGCCTCCACATATAGCGATATCACGCACCTCCCTCCACAATGCTTCCACATATAGCACTATCACGCTCCTCCCTCTACAATGCCTCCACATATAGCGATATCACGCACCTCCATCCACAATGCCTCCACCCATAACGCTATCACGCCCTTCTTTCCACAACGCCTACGCCACTGCCGCCATGCACACAAACGTGTTCCCAACAAAACCGCCCACGTCCAACCGCTTCGCTCCAGAACGTCAAACGCGACAACGGAATTGCAATTTTCACATTGTATCGTTTTTGTTCGCAGTTCTAACATCCTTATATCCGGCAGCCGGCAATAACCGTAGAGGAGTTAGTGGTGCGGAGGGTCGCACACAAGCGCGCGTTAGTCACCGAATGGAATTGCTGTCGAGTGAGAAGCCAAAAACCGCTAGCTGTCAGTACTAACGAGTAACACCGATGTGATGCGTAATGAAACCCAATGAAAAAAATTGGGATATATGTGAGGCTGTGAATACACAGGGCGTTACGAACTTGCTGGTTAACACGCGGAAACCCAAAACCTAGATATATGTAACAGATTATGAGTTAGGTAGACACTGTCTGGCTTCGTAATATGTCGAAAATTGAACCTAGTAAATCTGTATTATATTAAATATGGTGAAATGGGTTCGTCGTTGACTCGGTCGTGACGTCATCACTGACCTTTTCAGTGCGCCCATGTGTGCGTTCAGTTTATATTTGAATAAATTCATATCGACGTTTAAAATTTGAAATTCATCGTTCCACAGCTCATACTCACACGGTTATATTATTCGTGGAGGAAAGTGAGAAACTTAAACCCCCTAGCCAAACGCTAAAACACTAGTCCGGGTTACCGTACGACAGGCAATGTAGTTCGCTGATTCGCTGCCATGCGCCACGCGCTGCGTCTGTGATAATGACAGTCCGGGCAGTGGACATGCGGACCACCGATTTCTGTTACCAATCAATTCCATCGTTGGGAGAGTCGGGTAATACTAATAGAGTACATGATTTGCGTTTTGCTTTTGATATCACATAAATGCAATACAATTAGGGCTAGAGTTAAGGTGACAGAAAGGATTAGGGGTAGGATTACGGTTTGTCCAATTGATGAAGGTAGATAATGAGATATCTACTTACTCATTGCAATTAATACAATAAGCCCGATTTTCCGTTCCCAGTCGCTCTCACCTTGTTCAGTAGCGTCACGGCAAGTGTCCGAGAGGCTAGGGCTGAGGTCATACCAGTAGGTGGAGCCAGCGGCGAATGCTCCGCGTGTTACTGCCAAGTACACACCTGTAACGACAACGATGACAATACCTTACAACGTGTGTGTGTGTGTGTGTGCGTTCGTGCGTGCGTGCATGCGTGCGTGCGTGCGTGTGTGCTTGCGCGCGTGCTTGTGTGTGTATTGTATACAGTGCCGCTATTTCATCGGCAGTAAGTTAAATAAATGATTTTATTTTAACAGCGGCAGGTAAACGTTGACGGCTGAGCTCACACGCGGCGCAGAACCACCGTAATGCTATGCAGACCGCCAGGAACTAGGAGCCGAGATGTAAAGCCCAGCCGCCTAACTGCAGGCTGTGCTATTCCGACCTATTGGACACAGCGTGCCGACCAAGATTCGTGTACGTCGCGCACCGTCATCCCTCGCTGTTTGTTTTTCGGACGAACAAGCGCACGCTCCCCGACGGCACAAGCGTTGATAACCTGCTTCAGCCACGTTTTCTTCATGATATCTAACAATAACCTATATATGAGGTTAGAGAGAGAGGCGATGCATGTCCAGGGATTGTTTTTATTCAGCACGCGAATCGCTCTCTTTACCGACTCGGTGATGCTGGTATAGGTCAACAAACTGAACGTCAGGAGTGGTGCATACATAAGCGGTGAACGTTGTAGGGTCAGCCGTGTGGAAGCAGCAGTGGCGACGCAGTGAATACCCGCTATGCTTCAAACCCACTTGATAGCCTCAGCAGACCCACGGTTAACCCAGCGTCCACTAAACCTCAGTGAGTTCCAAGATAGCGGGATGAACAAAAGTAACGTCCGTAGCCATCAGCAAGCGATAAAAACGTTCGAACGCCGTTCGAAAAGAAGACTGCCTACCTCAGCGAGCCTCAACCTTAAAACTCTCATGAAACTGGAAACCCCGTTTGAACCCTACCCGTCTACCTTGATCAGTAGCAACGTATAACGTCTCAGCAAGCTAAAATACCGTCGATCTTAGGATCCAGTAAACATCCCCTGCCGAAGAGTGAGACGTGTTTTCCATATTAGTCAAAAAGCCAGTGGCTTGAAGCTGCGACCCTTTACCACAGAGATTCTTAACACCTACGGTAGCAGTAAGTGACACCGACATTAAAGCTACGACGCCTCACCTCAGACAGTATAACCACCCAAGCTCGCAGCGAGTGATACAGGTGTTAAAGCTACAACTCCTTACCTCAAAGAATATTAACACCCAAGCTATATATATATCCGATATTATCGGATTCCCTATTATCTACTCCTGATATATATATAATTAACGTTTATATATCAGTGCCAGAATATGACATCGTCCCCCCATCTAGTGAGAAAAAGCAAAACCCACGCGACTAACTTCAGGCTTCAGGGATGTTGGTAAATTGGGCGACGATGGGAGAGGACGCAACGTGACGTAGCTGGCAACCAACCAGCAAAAGACACACGAGGACGCTGTGCACAGTATAGAATGATTACTTGACTTTAATCCGACTGCATCGGTTAATAGAGTTAATATACTTTGCAGCACGACATGCATTTACGGTCAATTCCACCGTATGTTGATATTGGTTGTAATCCGCTCAATAATTGCGACCCTAATAGATATAGCAAACACGATAAGAGCTTCAGGCATAATTCATTAAGTGCGGATACTATCAGAAGGCATATTATATACCCGAGAATTTCACAGCGCCAACTATAAAAGGGCCAACGAATATTTGTAGTAGTAGTAGAGCTACTGTGAAATGCTTTAGTTTATATTGGGGTTGATTGCGACTCACGTGTGTAAACCTCGTGTTGCCTATCCATGCAGAATTGTGTGTGGGACATCTGGAAATGGTCACCTTCATTCTGAAACAACGCGTATTCAATCACAATCCATTGTTTCTTACTTAAGATGCCTATAGAAATATAGATATATAGATATATAGAATAGATGACTATTTACTTATATCCATAACCCCTATACGTAGACAGGCAGCGTGTGTTACGGTAATGAAATCGTGAAAGATCTGTCGAAGGCCAAAGGCTTGTGCCAGTACATATCTTGCGCATGCCATACTACTGCGCAAAGTCCTACCGGGAAGCCATGAAAAAGCCTTGTTCCAACACGTACCTGGGGGAACGGAATGTACCAACATATATCCTTTATCGGGGGTTAATAATGACAGATTCTGTCATTATTTGTCATTATTAACCCCTGCCTTTATGTATGTAAAAAGTATAGCCCTACTAGCTAGAGGAAGGTTGTCCCATCACATACCTGAAATGCCTGCGAGAGACTCGTGCCGTGGAACGTGTTGACGTAGGTGAAAGCGAGCGTGCTGCCTGACGCGCCCTGCATGAGCGATTCGCTCACAAACACGCCTCGGTCGCTCAGCAACAGCAGGTGACGATTGCTGAGAACTCCATCTACCAGCCGCAAGCCGCTGCAGTCTATACGTAATATATACAGGAGTGTCATAATATCAGGAGTATATAATAGAAGATCTTCTATTATATACTCCTGATAATATAGATAGTATACGACACTCCTGATATATATATATATATATATATATATATATATATACGACAACAATGTTTACGCCACCCGCGTATACGTCACACATACTATAGTTGTCACAGCCCAATACCAGAGTGCGAGGGAGTGTACGACTAATGAAGACAGACGGAAGGAGGCTGATAGATTGATGGATAGATAGAGGGAGAGCGGGAGAAAGGGAAGGGGAGAAGGTGGGAGAAATGAAGGGAGGGCGAGGGTAATAGATTGCTGGATAGATAGAGGGTGGGTAAAAGGAAGGGGCGGGAGGAAGGAATAGAAGAGCGGACGGTAGGGAGGCAGAATCGCAGAGGAACATAGCGGAAGAGAAAGATAGGGCTAGAGCGCGAGAGATGGGGGAGAGCGCGACAGGGGCGAGAGTCGAGACTGAAGGCCAGCGAGAGGGGGGGGGGGAGGAAAGCGGAGCAACAGAGAGCGAAATCGAATAAGCGAGTAGGGGCTTAAGAACAATCAGGTTGATTGTTTCAAATTACTATAGCGCGAATCATCCAGTCATTTTAATTACTTACGACCAACTACGACCAATATTCGTCCGTATCAATTCAGATCAATTAGACGCAATTACTATGGCAGGCAGATGTCCCCCACTGCTGTTGCTACACTTTTTTAACACTAGCAATTTTTTTCGTTAAACAGCGATGTTCTTTACATAGCGCACATGCTGGTCGCACAACTATGTCACGCGGCCGCACGCGGTCCCCACGTCGACACAGAGCCACGTCGACACAGCAAACAGTGTGCCGTCCCCGTGCTGAAGCTATTAATAACACGATGATGATGTTTGCGTCTGCCGGCTCATTTACCCCCGCGGCTGCTGCCGGTGAACGTCTGCTCTAAATGCACGTATGCCTCATAGTTATTCGCATATATTCTTTCACATAGACATATAGTTCCGCATCCATCCTCTTCTAGGCGTGTTCCTGCATAGTCCCGTATAGTTCTGCATAGACCTTTCATAGCTTCTCCTTAACTGACCCTGCATAGTCCTGCATAGGCACGTCATAGCTTCAGCTTAACTGACCCTGCATAGTCCCGTATAGGCCCTTCATAGCTTCTCTTTAACGGACGGTCCCTGCATAATCATGCATAGGCCCTTCATAGCTTCTCTTTAACTGGCTCGGACTTCCATAGGCCTTCCATAGATCTCTGTAACTGGCTCTGCATAGTTCTACATATTCCTGCATAGGCCTTTCATAGATCTTTGCAACTGCATGTGGCCTTGCATAGTCATACATAGGCCGTTCATAGCTTCTCCTTAACTGGCCCTGCATAGTCATGCATAGGAGTTGCATAGCCTCCCCTCAACGGTTCTGGTTCCACGGGCCCTCCTCCTCCTCTCCCCTCTCTTCACCTGTTCATACCTATGGTTCAAACAGCAGCGGTACTGTTAGCTCTAGTACTATAGCCCGCGTTAATCGAACGCCGGCTATAGTACTAGAGCTACGGTACTGTGAGCTTTTGGCATACGGGAATAGATTCAAAGAAATTCATCGCTTTAACTGATCCCGAGAAAACACGACGAACAGCAAAAACGGCTAATTTCAAAACGCAAAACGTGTAACATGGGTTTCAATGGAAGAGCGTTCTGCGCGCATGAACAACTAACAGCTAACAGCTAACAAAAACAGTTAAAACGCACAGCTTAACTGCTTTAGGACAAAGAAAAATAAAACGGTACGCAAATCAAGCTAACGTAAACACACTCGCACGCACGCACGCATCCGCGCCTGCCCATTTCACCACTGACAGAGCAATTTGACATATCACATTTTACAGCAGTGACAGTTTATTGACATTAGTAGGGAATCAGCTGATTGCTGTGCGTGCGTGCGTGCATGTGTGTGGTGAGTGCGTGCGTGCGTGCGTGCGTGCGTGCAGGTGTGCGGTGTGTACGTGTGTGCGTGCGTGCGTGCATGTGTGCGTGCGTTCGTGCATGTGTGCGGTGTGTGTGTGTGTGTGTGTGTGTGTGTGTGTGTGTGTGTGT